GCAGCCGTGAAATTAAAAGACGCTTACTCCTTGGAAGGAAAATTATGACCAACCTAGATAGCATATTAAAAAGCAGAGGCATTACTTTGTCAACAAAGGTCCGTCTGGTCAAGGCTATGGTTTTTCCAGTGGTCATGTATGGATGTGAGAGTTGGACTGTGAGGAAAGCTGAGGGCCAAAAAATTGATGCTTTTGAACTGTGGTGTTGGAGAACTCTTGAGAGTCCCTTGGACTGCAAGGAGATCCAACCAGTCCATCCTAAAGGAGGTCAGTCCTGAGTGTTCATTGGAAGGACTGATGTTGAAGCTGAAACTCCAATATTTTGGCCACCTCATGCGAAGAGCTGACTCATTTGAAAAGACTCTGATTCTGGGAAAGATTGAAGGCAGGAGGAGAAGGGGATGGAGAGGATGAGATGGTTAGATGGCATCACCGACTCAATGGACATGAGTTTGGGTAAACTGTGGGAGTTGGTGATGGACAGGGAAGCCTGGTGTGCTGTGGTTCATGGGGTCGTAAAGAGTTGGACATGACTGACTGACTGAACTGAACTTGGTTCTTTTTTTAAAAAAAGTTATTTTTAATCAGAGGATAATTGCTTTACAGTGTTGTACTGGTTTCTGTAATACATCAACATAGGTATACATATGTCCCCTCCCTCTTGATCCCCTCTCCCACCCCTCTAAGTTATTACGGAACCAGGTTAGTTCCTTGCGTCACACGGCAAATTCCTGATGGCTATCTATTTTACATATGGTAAGGTGTATTTTTCAGTGCTACTGTCTCAATGAATATATGATATTTGTTTTTCTCTTTCTGACCTACTTCACTCTATAACAGGCTCTAGGTTCATCACTGGAACTGATTCAAATCCATTCCTTTCCATGGCTGAGTAATATTCCATTGTATATATATACTACAACTTCTTTATCCATTCATCTGTTAATGGACATTTAGGTTGCTTCCATGTCCTGGCTATTGTAAATAGTGCTGTAAGGAACACTGGGGTGCATGTGTCTTTTAGAATTGTGGTTTTCTCAGGGTACATACCCAGTAGTGGGATTGTTGGGTCATATGGTAGTTTTATTCCTAGTTTTTAAAGAAATCTCCATACTCTTCTCCATAGTGGCTGTATCAGTTTACATTCTCACCAGCAGCACAAGAGGGTTCCCTTGTCTCTACATCCTCTCCAGCATTTGTTGTTTTCAGATTTTTTGATGATGGCCATTCTGACTGGTATGAGATGATACACCATTTTCGCCTTGGTTTGCATTTCCCTAATGATAAGTGATGTTGAGCAATTTTTCATGTGCTTATTAACCATCTGTATGTCTTCTTTGGAGAAATGTCGGTTTAGGTCTTCTGGCAGGTGGATTCTTAACCACTGGACCACTAGGGGAGTCCAAGGGAGGGATGTTTTAATAGCCTTTGAGATAATGGTGGACTTTTAAAATTACTGTATTTGGCTGTGTCAGGTCTTAGCTGTGCTTCTCAGAATCTTGGTCACGTCAGGTGGGATCTTTAAGCAAAGATCTGTGACTGCTCATTCCGTGTCATGAGTCGACTTAGTTTCTCCATGGCATGTGGGATCTTTGTTCCTTGACCAGATATCGAACCTGCGTCTGCTGCATTGTAAGGCAGGTTCTTTACCCCTGGGCCACCAAAGTGACAGTCGCTCAGCCGTGTCCGACTCTGCCACCCCACGGACTATAAAGTTCATGGAATTTTCCAGGCCAGAATACTGGAGTGGGTAGCCTTTCCCTTCTCAGGTTTTTATATTAAATGTGTTTGGTTGGTTTAAAAGTGAAAACCACACCACCACCACCACCACCAAAACCTAATTTCCATACCACAGATGACCTCTGCCTGCATTGAATTTCATATAATTACGGTACAGTGTGAACTCTTTGGAGTCTTTTTTCACTCAGCATTGTCTGTGGGGTTCATCTGTGATGTCAAAGTATGCTGAGTAGTTTATTCTTTTTCCCAAGCTGTGTATTAACTGTATGAATGTGCCGTGAGTTATTTATGCGTTCTGTCGTTGATGGGTTTTTAGGTGGTTTCTAGATTCTCACTATTACAGATCATGCAGATATGAGCATTTTTTTGCCTGTGTCTTTCGAGGCATAGCTCTGAGCTGTGTTGGAGGTATCCTCGGGGTGTGGAATTGCTGGGCATGGGGCATGGATATGTTTAGGGGTTACTGGGCACTGTTTCTCCACAGCAGTTCTACCTGTTTACTCTCCTGCTCACAAGAGGGACAATTCCAGCGGCTCCATGTCTCAACTGACCCTTGTTATGAGATGCCTTTTTCAGGGCAACGGGCAGGTCTTTTTTTAAAAATTACGTTTTAAGACTTTATTATTATTACTATGGCCTCACAGCATGGCATGTGGGATCTAGTTTCCTGACCAGGGATCAAACCTGCCCTCCCTACATTGGAAACATGGAGTCTTAACCCCTGGACCATCAGGGCAGGGAAGTCCTATTATTATTATTCTTATTTGGAGCAGAGAGAGATTTATTGCAGGGCCGCGCAAAGGAGAACAGGCAATTTGTGGCAAAAACAAACAAACAAAAAAACCCCAAGCATAACTGAACCTAAGACTTCATTTTAGAGCAGTTTTAGGTTCACAGTGAAACGGGGGGGAAAGTACAGAGATTCCCCATCCCCCGCACCCCCCAACACTCACAGCCTCCACCATTGTCATCCTGCTGAGAGGGGGACTTCTGTCACTAGTCATGGCCCTAGGGTGAAACACCCTTACCCAGAGTCCAGAGTTATACCATGGTTCACCCTTGGTGTTACATAGTTTGGACAAGTGTATACTGACATGCACCCTCCTTTATAGTATCATATGGTGTTTTCCCTCAGAGGGCAGGTTCTTACCTGTTTTTTCAATTTGTTCTGTACTAACTGGTCTATTCCTTTTTTCTCCCCACCCACCCCACTTCTTCTAGGGTCAATTCTGTTAATTTATGTTTCCCTGTTTATGTAGGGCCGCTTATGTAGATTTAAAATTTCACTGGTGTAACTGTTACAGGTTTTGACATATACTGTTTTCATTTTACAGTAATTTTTTCCCAAAAAACAATATGCAAAGGTTAAATTGTATTGCAAGGCTTGTAACAAAACAAAACCCTTGGTGTCCTGCCTCACCTTCTCACTTCCCCAGATTGGTTCAGTACTGATATATATATGCTTTTTAAAAAAAAGTGAATGCTGATGTTTACGTATTTATTCCATTTAGCCTGTTTTTTAAAAAAATATTTATTTGGTTGCATCTGGTCTTAGTTGTGGCATTTGTTGTTGTCCAGTTGCTAAGTTGTGTCTGACTTTGCGACCCCATGGACTGCAGCACTTCAGGCTTCCCTGTCCTTCACTATCTCCCAGAGTTTGCTCAGATTCATGTCCATTGAGTCAGTGATGCTATCAGACTATCTCATCTTCTGCCACCCCCTTCTCCTTTTGCCTTCAATCTTTCCCAGCATCAGGGTCTTTTCCAATGAGTCAGCTCTTTGCATCAGGTGGCCAACGTATTGGAGTTTCAGCTTCAGCATCAGTCCTTCCAATGAGTATTCAGGGTTGATCTCCCTTAGGATTGACTGGTTTGATCTCCTTGAAGTCCAAGGAACTTCCAAGAGTCTTCTCTAGCACTACAATTCAAAAGCATCAATTCTTTAGCACTCAGCTTTCTTTTTAGTCTAACTCTCCTCATACATGACTACTGGGAAAACCATAGCTTTGACTATACGGACCTTTGTCAGCTAAGTGATGTCTCTGCTTTTTAATACGCTGTCTAGGTTGGTCATTCAATTTCATGGCTGCAGTCACCATCTGCAGTGATTCTGGAGCCCAAGAAAATAAAATCTGTCACTGCTTCCACTTTCCCCCCTTCTGTTCACCATGAAGTGATGGGACTGGATGCCCTGATCTTAGTTTTTTCAATATTGCATTTCAAGCCAGCTTTTCCACTCTTCTTTTATCCTCATCAACAGCTGTGGCACGTGGGGTCTTTTGTTGCAGCATGTAGAATTTAGTTCCCTGATCAGGGATTGAACCAGGCCCCCTGCATTGGGAGCGCATAGTCCTAGCCACTGGACCACCAGAGAAGACCCCTAGTCCGTTTCTCGATTTATAATTGTTGACTTTCCTTGTTCATGTCCTGGTTGTAAAGGCTGAAACTGTAGCACTCCTTCCCCAAACCATGCTCCCCACCCTGTCCATCACACCCTCTGTCTGGTTTACCGTCTCCATTCACGGCTTAGTTAGTACTCGACGTCAACCCTTGTCACACTGAGCCAAGTCATATTTCCATTTTTTTTTAAACAATGCTCTTTTTTCCTGGAGTTAGAAATTGCCTCATTTTCCTGTTTATTAGCTCTGTGTATCTATCACTAAGTTTTCCCATCTCTGCAACAGAAGGAAAGAGCTCTTCTGATTATATTTTCTACATAGTCACACACATCACTTGTCCTATAGGTTCTGAGTTTGTCTTGGTACCATCCCCTCAGAAGGCCTCCTGTGTTGGTCCAGGACCTCCAAGAAGGGATACCAGGGTGAGACTAAATGTGCGGGGTGGTGGCGGGGGGGTTATCTGGGGAAATACCCAGAGAGACAGGGAAGGGGCTGGTCAAGGCTGCACGGCCTCCAGCGAAAACGAGCAGCAGAGAAGGGTGGACAGAAGCTCCTGAGACAGCCACGCACCCCCAGGAAGTCTCCACAAAGCTGCCAGGGCTGCTCAGAGGCATCCTGGGTCCCCAGCAACCAGCCTGCCTCAGTGTCCCTGATGTCCTGTGTCCTCGGCAGGGGGGAGGCCTGTGGGAGGCGTTGCCTCAACACAGACTGAAAGGTGGATTTCAAAGCTCCTGCGGCAGCGGCTGGGGCGCCTGGTCAACCATCGTGCCTGAAATCGGAGGACTTTCGGTGTTCAGTTCCCCTTCTCCACCCGGTTTGGGGAGCAGCAATCCCGTGGTTTCTGTGGGCCCTCCTTCCGCAGGGGACACTCCTAGGTGTGCTCATCCTCACCGCCCCCACGTCCGTTCCAAACACCTCTCACCCCGGGCTGTCACCCGAGCAGGCGCTGGGGGCCTGCCTGGAGGCGCGGCCCAGGCCTTCGTTTCTGAAGTGTCTGAACACTTACGTGCGTCTCCAGTGGGGGTTCTGCATGTCTATTGGCCGTTGCGGTGGGGTGAGGGGAGACCAGCCGCGTCCAGGTGGATCACCTGAGGCCCACCCACGTCGTCTCCTGTCCCCCGCGCCTGCTGAGGGTCACCCCCACCCACGTGGGGCAGCCCATCCTTGGGCAGCAGGAGCCACCGTGTCCTGGTGGGAGCTGCAGCTTGCTGCACGATAGGATCCGGGCTGTTGGTCCCAGGCCATGCAGCCCTGCGGAGCCCAGAGTGGTGGCAAAACGGGAGTGGGCCACCCCTGTTACCCTTGTCTGTTCCAGCCAAGAGCTGTGTGTCCTTCCTTTGGGGACTCAGAACCGGATAGAAACCTCGGATTTAATAAAAACGCAGCGTCCGGACAGCACTCGTCCTTTGAGAGGGCTTCCTCAGCTGGCCTTTCGGCTCTGCCTTTAGGCTATTCCAGTGTCCCCCCAGGCCGCCTCTGGGCGGTGCCCGATCTGAACGCCCTCCCACGAGGTGGCTCCTTCACGGCCATGTGCTGTGTGGGGCTCTGGGCCCCTTACCCCCCGGAGCCAGGATCGCCATACTGTTCTCCATAGTGCCTGGATCCATTTTATTCCCACCAATGGTGCAAGAGGGTTCCCTTCTCTCCATAGCCTCTCCAGCATTTAGATTTTTAGATTAAGTGTTTTTAGATTTTCTTGATGATGGCCGTTCTGACTGGCATGAGGTAGTAACCCCCTGTAGTTTTGATTTGCATTTTTCTGATAATTAGTGATGTTGAGCATATTTTCATGTGCTTCGAAGAGGCCATGTCTATCTCCTCTGGAGAAATGACTAGGTCTTTTGCCTATTTTTTGATCAGGTTGTGTTTTTTTGGGGGGGGAGGGAGGGAGGAAAGGTATGGAACTGCATGAGCTGTCTGTATATTTTGAAGATTAATCTTTTTTAGTAAGTTTTCAATTTTATTTATCTTTGGCTGTGTTAGCTCTCGGTTGCTGTGAGGACTTTCTCTCTAATTGCGGGGGGCAGGGACTGCTCTTCACTGCAGTGTGCGGGCTTCTTATTGGGGTGGCTCCTGTTGCGGGGCTCAGGCTCGAGAGCACAGGCTCAGGACTGGAGCGCTGCGGCTCAGTCGTTCCATGGCACGTGGAATCCTCCGGGACCAGGAATCGAACCCATGTCTCCTGAATTGGCTGGCTCAGAGGCTTTACCACTGAGCCACCAGGGAAGCCCTAAGTGTTTATGAATTTTAATTTGATCTTCTCAAACAGTCGGCTTTTGGTTTAACTCATGTTTCTATTATTTTTCTGTATTTGACTTCATCGATTTGTGTGTCTTTATCTGTATTATTTCCTCTTGTGCCGACTGTGGTCTTTGTATTCTACTTTCTTAAGATAGAAGCTTAGGTAATTTGAGACTTTTCTTCATTTAATTATTAGCATTTAAAAGATAAATTCTCGGGAAATCTCTGACAGTCCAGCGGTTAGGACTAGGAACTTTCACTGCTGGGGCCCGGGTTGGATTCCTGGTCAGGGAACAAGATCCCACAAGCTGCATGGTGTGGCCAAAAAAGCAAAAAACAACTCCTGTGTATCAGTGTTTATTCTGTCCTTTATTAACCCCTTATGTTTGGCTGGGTGTAGAACTCTAGTTTGGAGTTATATTTCTTCAGAATTTTAAAGGTATCCATTGTCTCTTAGCTTCCAGTGTTACCATTTAGGCTTCTCAGGTGGCGCTAGTGGTAAAGAACCTGCTTTTCCAATACAGGAGACACAGGAGACGTGGGTTTGGTCCCTGGGTCAGGAAGATCCCCTGGAGGAGGGCATGGCAACCCACTCCAGTGTTCTTGCCTGGAGAATCCCACGGACAGAGGAGGCTGGCGGGCTAGGGGTCCATAGGGTTGCAGAGTTGGGACATGACTTAGAAATGCAGAGTCCTTCTGATTCTCAGTGGTTGTAGGTGACCTGTATTTTCTCTAGGAAAGCTTATAGCGTTTGTTTCCAGTGTCTGCAATGTTAAGGTGATGTGTGGTCATTTGGGGTGTGGGTGATTTTCCTTTTGTTAAATTGACATTTACAGTGTTGTGTTAGTTTCTGGAACAAAGTGATTCAGTTATACATGTATATGTGTGCATATATATATTTTTTCAGATTATTTTTGACTTTAGGTTATCACAGAATATTGAACACAGTTCCCTGTGCTGTACAGTAGGTCCTTGTTCTTCTTGTTTTATATATAGTAGAGTGACCTGTGAGCCCCAGCTCCTAAACTGTCTGCTCCTCTTCCCCTCTGGTAAAACTGTAAGCTTGTTTCCTGTGTCTGTGAGTCTGTTTCTGTTTTATAAACAAGTTCATTACTCATATTTTAGATATGCCTGTGATAGCATATATGTTTCTTCCCATCTTAGTATGATAATCTCTAGATCCAACATTGTTGCTGCAGATAGCATTATTTCATGCTTTTTTATGGCTCAGTAGTATTCCACTGTGTGTATGTCGCATATTTTTTTCATCCATCTAGTTGGGTGCTTGTTGGGCTTTCTCAATCTGGAGATCCATGTTGTCAGCTTCTCAGAAAATTACATTATTTCTTTGATCATTTTATTCTATTTTGTTTTCTTTCTAAAATTCCTGTGATTATTCCTTCTTGACTGAACCTCTGATTTTCTCTCCTATCTTCCTTCTTGTCTCTCCATCCTTCTCTTTGGGGGGGTTGTCAGTTTCATCTCCATGTTTTTGTATGTTCATTTGCAAATATGTATCAAAAACCTATTTTAAGTGCTGGTGATACAGCAATGAATAAGTCCCATGCCCTTGCTGCTTGTAATTTTCCCATGTATTTCTAGTGATATTCCAAAGCAATATGCTAGCATATTCTAGTGCTTTGGAGAGAAAGCAATCAGTTGTTTGCACATTATAGAATACATGATTTTGTGAGGGTCTAGTTTATGATGTTTCTATTGCTATTCCATGGGACACTAAGGAGGTTATATTTTCTGTGATAGTAAATGAGTTGAATCAGATCAACCTAATAAGTACTGATACTTTGATTCAGGTTCATTCATGGCTCCCATGTTTATTGCAGCACCTACTATATTTGAGATACTGTGCAGGCCACTGGGGGAAATGGTAGGTGAGCAAAAGCAGGATTCCTTTACTCAGAACTCTAATAGGTTGGTGGTGGAGGTCGTGGTGGGGGCAGACATTAATCAGATAATAGCCTCAATGGGAGAAGTCCTGTGCGAGAAAGGAGCCAAGCTCTCTAGACACAGAGGCATCTGAGCTAGAATGGAAGGTCATGGGAGGCTTTCCTGACGAGGTGACAGGTGAGTTGAGGTCTGACGCATGAACCGGCCTTAGTGAGACAGAGCCGGAGGTGAGCAGCCCAGGTCCAGGATATGGCTGGTGCAGGGGAATGCCCAAATGGGAGAGGAGCATGGCCTTGAAGGGACGGAAGGATGTCCAGAGGACGGAGCAGTGACACGATGTGAGAGGAGCTGGGGAGGAGGGGAGGGCCATGGTGGACACGGCCCTAAGGGTCACAGGATGGACTTCTGCCATATCCTGAGAGTAAGGGCAAGTCCTTGGATCGTGGACCCAGCAGAGTGGTAAAAGGTTTCCATTTTGTAAAGATGGCTCTGGCTATGGTGTGCGGAGTAGGTGATGAGAGGTGGAAAGGGAAGTTTGTCAGAGTGAGTTAGGAGGCTCCTGTCATAATCTAGGGGCAAGGCACTAGTGTCTGGTATCAGAGTGGAGACAGAGGTGATGGAGAGAAATGGACAGATTCCAAAGGCATGCAGGAGGTTAAGTGGACAGGACTCAGTGATGGATTGGTTGGTCATGGGGGTAGTGGGGCTCGTCCAGCTGCATGGATGGTGGAGTCACTGGTACAGAAGAGGGACATGGCTGTCAGAGGTGGAGCTGGGGACAGCACTGATCTGGCTCAGGCGTGATGAGCTTTTTCTATGCAGTCCTTTTATTCCCTGCTCCCCACTTGTCCAGGACTGAAAGAGATAATGTAATTCCACTACATTTTAATTGCTATCAATTTTTTGTCTTGCATTTTTTTCTTAGAGTTTGATATGTTTGACAGTTAAGGTTCATAACAATGTCCAATCTTAAGATTTCTATATTTAATTCTTGTAGTAATGCTTGAGACTGTTACAAAGTATTTGAAATTATGGATAGCCCGTATTTGTGAAGCCCCAGCCCCATTCCCCTTTCTGAAAGTCATGCTGGTTCACAGCTTGAGCTGAATGATGAAATACTGAGTGGAGTATGGTCCTCAGACTGTGAAACTTTTGTTGTGCTTCATGCTTTTCACCGAATTCCAGCTCTTCTGGGTATGACTGTCACATCCTTGCTTTCACGTGCATGTGCTGGGTGTATCTTTACTCTTTTACTTTGGAACTGAGTCACTTTACAAGCGTTTGAATTTATCTTTTTGGTCAAATATGAACTTTTTCTTCTAGTAAATGACTTTTTCCCTCCTAGATTAGTGCCAGTCACTTGACCTTCACTTTCCTATTTTTCACACTATCCCCCTTATTGAGGCTAAGTTTTTCCCAGAACACAAGCACAACTATATAGAAGATAAAACATCTGATGGTATCAGTTATATAGTTGATTGATTTAAAGCAATGCTGGCGGAAATCATGAGAAAAACTTATCTGTGCACATCCAGAAACATGAATTCCTGGATATCATTTTATTTCTCAGATCCCTATTTTCTGTTGATTTCCTTCAACATTTAGTATGACTCTTGTATTTCAAATTAATTTTTACTGGAGTATTGTTGCTTTATAGTATTGTTAGTTTCCACTCTATAGCAAAATTAATCAGCTGTAGGTACACATATATTCCCCTTTTGGATTTCTTCCCTTTTAGATCACTGCAGAGTACTGAATAGAGTTCCCCTGTGGTATACAGTAGGTTCTCATTAATTATCTATTTTCTACATAGTATCAATAGTATAGGTATAAAGCATAACTCATTTTTTGTAGGTGCTGTTATCAATCAAGGAAGTTCCTTTCTATTGCTAGTTTGCCGAAAGTGTT